ATGCTTGGAAAGTAAGAAGGGAGTCATAGGGCTTCTTTGGTTGGGTAGAGTGTCATTTCCAGAAAGAGTTCTGTGGTCTTTGGCTCTAAATGATATTTGCTGCTAAAGATCAGAGGACTCCTTCGGTTACATCACAGGCCCTTAATAAACTTTCCTTTGTCATTTGCAGCTCAAGGCTTGAGCACTTGAAGTTCTATCCTGAACAATTGCAAGTGATCCAAACCTTCCGCAAACAAATTTTTTGGTGGGAAAGGTATGGATGGAGGGCAGAGGAAAAAGAACCAGAAAAGGAAACCTGGACCTAAATCAGTATAGAAGGGGTTTTAAGAACTGAGCTGAAAAAAACCAATTTATTTTAAAGGGAAGCAAATGTGAGGATTTCTTTTCTTCTTTTTCTTCTCCTCTTCCTTTTCTGAAGCAGCATTTCCCCACCCCACCTCCTTTCCTTTCTTCTTCTTTTGTTAGCTATAGGGAACATCCTTTTAATCATAAGCTGAAACTTTCATCAGCTCGGTTCAGAAGCAGCTTTTATGTTTTCTGATTTACATAGCTATGCATGTCCCTCGGTTGATTTCTCTTTTCTGGTATTCCAGCAGGGATGGTTAGAATACCACTGTAATAGAGGTCTGTCCATGTTTCCGCTCATTTAGGACACAGATTCTAGTTGAATAGTTCTTAAGCATCAAAAATTTGGGACCCGGGTGGATTTTGCACAGCTTGGCTTCAGCTGTTAGAGATGATGTAGAGGAAGCAAGGCGGAGAGCGGGGGGAAACTGAAAATTCCCTGACTATAGAGGAATCTCAGGAAGCAATGTCAAGCTCATAATGGTACTCTGGAAATGGAGCTCAGCATATAGATTGATGGATGAATTCTATTTTTAATCCATTCCCTCCTACCAATGCTCTTTTTGAGCTGCACCAATTTGCATTTTAAAATGGATAATATGACCTTGAGCAATAGTCCTGATTTTTGAAACTGATCTGCATTTTGTTCCCAGACTGACAAAAAGCAGTATTTCAGTCAGGATTCTCATTCAAGCAAAGGGCCAGCAACTGAATTGCAGGAGAACTGTATGGACACAAAGAAGCATATCTTTGTGATTTATTTCTCAAGCGAGTTTACAATATAAAGAGGCAAGATTTTGTTAGTACTTCCTAATGGTATCAGTAGGTAATTTTAATGACTTTGAATGTCAGAGTCCTCTAGAGGTCTCCTTTCAGATAAATATGAATGAATAGGTGGATAAAAATGCCAAAGCCACTCTAAACATCTGGCTGACCGTGTGACAAATCATCATAATTTAATTCTGTTCTACATAGCTAGATTGAAAAAAGGCTCATTTTGGGGGGAACCATCAAAAACATTTGGCAATTTATGAATACTTCAATAAAGGGTTGGCAAACAAAGCCAATGGCTATTGGAGAAGGAGTTAGGGGAGGTTGAAATTAAATGTGGTATTTTTTTCCCAAGGTGACTCATTATAACCTTTACTTTTTATACTATCAATGGTTCCACTGATAGCGGTTTTGAACAAGACAAACTGTGGTTTGATGAATTGGCAAAAAAGAGTAAAAAAATTCACATTTACTTTACATGGATAACTTACAACCTTTTGGAAGAACGAAGGCAGAATTGGATTCCTTGCTAAAAAGCACAAAAGAATTCAGCAAATATTGGAATGCAATTTGGCACTGACATAATCAAAAAGGCAGGCAAAATCGATGAAGGTGATGGATCATAACTTGATTATAAAGATATGATAAAGGCAGTAGGACCAAAAGAAGGCTACAAATGTTTGGGAGTTTTATAAACTTTTGACTTATTACTGAGCTAAGTCAAAGAAAGTACTTCTGCCTGATATATTAAACAACTCTGAAATTTTTTGAAATAAACCTAAGTTCTGGAAACATCAATAAAGCTACCTGGGTAGTCTCATTATATGATATACAGCAGGAACAGTTGATTGAATCCAGATGGAAGTTAATAACTTGGAGCAGAAAATAAGAAAACTAATATAAAATGGTCTTCACCCCAAAAGCAACATAGATTGGCTATATTTGCCAAGAGCCAAGGGACCGATGATTCCTATAGGTGCAACAAACTGTGGAGAAAGAAAAAAACATGACTAGAATGGCTATATAAAGAAAAGCAAAGAAACATTATTGAAGGAAGTCAATCAAGGAAGAGTTTTAAAAACAACAAAGGTGAAGGGCAAATATAGAAAAGAAGCAATGGAAAACCAATTTGTTAATTGGAAGAACAAGCCATTGCATGGTCAATACTTGAAGATATAGAAGGAAATGCTGATCAAAATCCCACATGGATCTGATTCAGATCAGGCCTGTTAAAGAAAGAAACTGAAGGCATTATTTTAGCAGCTCAAGAACAAACTCTGCCAACTAATTCCATGAAGGCAAGAATTCATAATGTAACAAACAATTTCTTATCTTTGTGGTGAAACTGATGAAACAAATGGCCATTTGATCAGTGGCTGCAGCAAAATTTCACAAATTAATAATAAGCAGTGTGATGACCAAGTTACCGATATTATTCATTGGAAAGTTTGCCAGAGATTTGGATTTGAATGTAGCAAGAACTAATGGGACCATCAAGTTTAGAAAGTTTTGGAAAATGAGCGGGATTTTGAAATACAAATGGAAAGGCACTTTGCTCATAACCTGCCTGATAATGGCAGTCACTGAAAAGAAGAAAATCTGATTCATAACTGTATCAAGTGATGTCAGAGTTGAGAAAAAGCAAACCCAAAGAATTATGAAATACTGGGACTTGCAAATTGAAATTGAATGCTTATGGAAAAAGAAATCAGTTGTTATACCAAACATGATTGGTGTCCTTGGAGCTATAACTATAGGGCTCCCTCAATATTTGCAAATTCTGAATTTGTCAGACCTGAACACCCTAATATTACAAAGAAATGCCCAACTTTGAATTAGCTGTATCCTCAGATGGTATTTAATAATTGTTAGGACCTTGGTAGGACTTGCATTATTACATTTCCACCTGTCCTTGACTGTGAATCTAATAGCTTACCCCAACAACAACAATGACAACAACAATAATAATATTAATAAGGTAAATAAATGCAGTCTCAACCTCTGGCTGTCTGGGCAACCAACCATAATGTATACTGGCAGTCCTTAATTTATCATCAGTTAATAAATTACCTCAGAAAGGGTGTTTTATAGATTGTATACAGTATGTCTGTAGAGATTCTCAGTTAGTATTCCAAAGATGCTTTTTTTTGCCGGATTAATTAAGGTAAAGATCTTGTGGGATTTTTGAATGCAGACAGATCATCATTTGGGACACAACACGCCAGATTGTCAAAAACTGAAGTGTACAATTTATCGATATTGCTGTGGCAGGAGATGCCAGAGTCGAAGAAAAAGAACTTGAAAAAAAATCACAAAATATCGCGATCTGGCCATCGAAACTATGCAGTTATAGATGAAACATGTAACAGTGATATCCATCGTCACTGGGGCACTTGGTACCATGTCCAAGAATTTTACAAAATACATCAAGAAATTGCAGCTTCCTGCAATAACACCAGAGGAACTGCAAAAAACTGTACTACTCGGAACATTGTACATTTTAAGAAGAAACCCGTATCAACCATTAGCGCCAGTCAATTATATGATACATGAGTTTCAAGTTTAATGAATAAAAGAGACAATAATAACAACAATAACAATAATAGCAGTAACAGCATCTGCTGTATATGTGTGTCTGATTAACATTCTCTCAGAGAGAGAGAGAGAGAGAAAAATGATGTTAAAAAGTAAGAGAAAAAAAGAATGCTAAAGATGCTGCAATTACTGGAGATATTCCCAGTGGATATTTTCCAAGTCAGTCCAGGCAATGACAGTGAGACTGTCTGCAGCTCCTATCATTATCTGCCTTATTTTGAATGAGTGTTTTGCTCCAACTTTCTGAACTCTGGCTGCTGGCACAGAAATGTTACTTGGATGGATTACTTATCACTCTTGTTTTGGAAGATCCAGTTTTGGTAGGTGAACCTAGGTCAAGGCCGGATAGTGCTTAACTGCGAGAGGGTAAGGAGAAGCTCATTTAGACTGCATTTAGTGTATATTTACTCAGTTGGTATGTCTCAGATCTATATACACATATGGCCTTAAGTTTACACCTTTCTGAAAGTGGCAACACCTTGCAACTCAGATAATGCATTGAAATATATTCCTATTAGGGAATGGGTGAACAAAAATGCTTTAAATTTTGGGAAATTGTTTTCAAAAAGTCATAGACAATGAAAAATGTCTGCAAAAATGCACATATTTATGGGGGAGGAGAGACCAAACTGCATACAGAAGTTCTGTGTGGTTTTTTTCTTTTCTTTTTTAACAAAAACCTGATGTGGAAATAGACTGGAAAAATGAAAGAAACAAAAATACCTAACAACAACCCTGAATGAAATCAAATTTGATAGATTTGCCCAAGACAATTTTGACAGTACATCTCATCGGATAAGCACAAATGTCAACAGATTCACAGTTCCCTAGACCTAACAGATCCTGATAAAATCCCAATTTCAATGTGTCAGTGCTTATCTTTAAAATCCATCATGGGCCCCATCAGCTTTGTCTGGTACAGAGACCTTCATAAAAGACCTATCTTTATATGTCATCAGAGAGCAGGGCTGCATTGATTGAAGTTTTCTGTATTTTGGAATTCTTCGTGGAAAAAGATTATGCAAATAGAAACACTTCGAATTTATTGAGGTTTTGTTGTTGCTGTGAATGTACATTTTTGTTTGAGCAACATTAACAATACATTTTACTGTATTTATTACAATGAGTCAGTTGCATACAGTTGTGGCATCTAGTGCAATTTTACAGATTTCATACGAACCACTTGTGCATAAAATATGAAATTGGCTTTTCATTGAGAAATATGGTGAAACTATGATTACTGGTAATGTTTCGATCCTCTTTATGGGACAGCTGTCACCTATTCTTACCTGAAATGATGAATTTGGATGTATATTTACACGGGCTTGAAACCAATGTTGTCCTTTGTTCCCAGTTGTAGACCAGAATGGACTTTCTGATGACGTCGGACTTTTTAACCGCAAATAAACATTTAATGTGCCTTTAAAAAGAAAGAGCATAGACACACACATATACAATTAAAGAAAAACAAAGAAAACAGAAAGAATATCAGGAGGTTGAGACACACCGGCAGATGTGGAACAACAATAACAAAAATGAAATGTAAAATGCAAAAGCCAAAAGAGGTCAGTTTAATGAAGCACTGGAGTATGGATTTCAGCATAATGGAAGTCTCTGGAATGTTCTGGCTTTTTGTACCTTTCTTTACTGACTGTCTCTCTGTGGCATGCTGATTTTGCCTCATTTTAATGGGCTTCCTATGTTAGGCTTTTCTTTCCACTGAAGGAAGTCACTGTAATATGGCCTTAGCAAGATGCTCCATTTCACTGAGTGTTCTCTGCCTCACCTCCAAGTCCTATGCTTTACCACAGACAATTCTGATGTTAAATTTAACAACTGTAATAAATTTAGTTTGGTGTAACCCTGCATGAATCACCCTCTACTAGGTTACATGCATAGAATAAGATCCTGACAAAGGAGGATTACATATTCTAAGAAGGAGTAGAGTGGTGGCTACTACAAATAGCTTTTCGGATTAGACAAGGTGATGATTCAAAGTGGGCCAGATATGAGTTCTTTGCACTTTCCTGCATTTCAGTTGTGACATTTGGATAATTTTCTTTGGGGAAAAAAGTTCTTTCTCTCCTTTAGAGCAAATATCCTGAGCAGCACTGAATTCTGCATGGCATATGGAGGGACACAGTCCAACATGAGCCAAGTTCAGATATATTTGGGGTGGGTGGGTAGGTGTCAGGAGTGTTCAGAGGAGAAACATTTCAAATAAAGACTGTAAAAACAATATTGAAGTTCTCTGCCCAGCATTAATTGCAAATATAGGCAGTCCTCATATTAGGATTGTCATTTAGCCCAGAATTATGGTCATAAATTGTTGCAGGTTATACGTGACCAGACCCAATTTTATGATAATTTTTGCAGCATTTTTTTTAAGTGAATAGCATGGTTATTAAGTAAACAGCACCTTTAAGTGAATAGTGCAGTTGTTAAGTGATTCTATGATACCCCAATAGTTGGAAACCAGAAGTAAATGGTGGATACTGGCAAAAAGTACCAAAAATCATGATCATGTGACCACAGGATATTATAAATAGCTGCAAAGACAAGCCAGTTGCCATAAGACCAAAGTGTAATCAGATGATGATGATGAGTGTTTGTGGATGCATGTGTGAACATTGTAAGTTCAAAATTGCTTCATAAGAAATTTCATGGGCATTCCACTAAGTGGCTGGTTAGAAGCTGAGAACTACTGTACCATGCAACTATAAGTGTATGAATTGTATATGACCAACAGAGGGAAAAAAGCATTACTTCTATTACCCATGATGTAAGTAGCAAAAAGTCTTTACACATATATTAAATAATAATTCATTGATTATATCTATGGGGACATAGTAATAATTAGTTTTATGGGGAAATGTTTAATTTGCCAGGATTGTATTCAGTTTTCGTCAATCTGTATTAGAGAAAAAGGCAAAACAATCAGTTGGTAAACCCGAAGAGACTTCACAGTGGCTAGATTCATACAAGATTTAGCCTGATTGCTTAATTAATCCACTGTCTGGGTTTAGGCAATATTTTCAACTATAGTCAACTGCCTCCTATACTTATTTTGGGGAGTATGACGTGAGAGATACCTTCCAACTTATTAATGATAAGAAATGCAACCAAGGCATTGGAAAAAAAAACCATGTGGGTGGAAAGCCTTAGTTACAAATGTATTTATGACATGAAAGTTTTCAATGACATGGGTATATCGGCAGGAAGAATCCAACTCTTTGGTCCTGGACATTACAGGATCTCCAAAGGCTACATTTCAATGGCTTTCTGCCCACTGAATTATTTTCAAGACAATTCTCTTGACCATTTATGTTCCCTCCTTCAGATTGGTAAAGAAAGGCATTCTCCAACAGAACCTCTCAATTATTGAATTGCTTCCCTCCCACATTTAAGATGGCTTGCCGACATTTCCAGAATGCACCATAAAATGTCTTTAGGTGAAATCCATTTTCATATCCGAGATTAAAAAGAGATGGACTTATTTTTAAAGCAATGTACTTTCTAATACAGCAGGAGGCAAGTGCGAGACAGCAAAAGTCTATTTCCCACCTCTTTTCATGTTGTGCTTTTGGCCGTTTATGATCATCATTTAGTTTCCTAGAGTGATCATGATGTATGGAGAATAACTGTCGTGTTGTGGCTTCATGCAGAAACTAGTTTCTGTTATGTTTTTTATTTCTGTTTGGTTTATTTTTAATTGACCTTTATTCCCTCCAATTGCTTTTACCAGCAATGTGATACAATTAATGATATTAAATAGCACACACACACACACACACTAATGTTTTTTATTTCTGTTTGGTTTATTTTTAATTGACCTTTATTCCCTCCAATTGCTTTTACCAGCGATGTGATACAATTAATGATATTAAATAACACACTCATACACACACACACACACACCCTAAAATGAAGCAGATTCATGTTGTGCAGTGGCCAGAATATGAAAAAATGCAGCCAGCTCAAGGGAAGTAGATTTTCATATTTAATTATATAATCTTTTTTTTAAAAAAATACAGAATAAACTGTACATTGACATTGTGTTATAATACCCGCTTCCCCAAATACCCTCCTGCACATTGGGGGATTTTTTTAGTTTGCCATGATCAGCTCTGCCCGGATTTCTTTGTATGGTATATATTTATTTATATGAAACATTTATATGACACCAACTCCCTTAATGGGTCTTGGCAGCTTACAAGGTACAGTGAAAACCCCTATTAAAAACAACACTAAAATGTATGAGACATAAAACACCAAAGCTTAAGAGATCCTAATAAAAGCCTAGGGAAAGAAAAGTTTCCAGTCTCTTCCTACATCATGTTAAAGAGGAGACTTTGCTTCAACTCTAATGTCAATTTATTCCATTTTTCTATTTTAGTGGAGTACTTCTGTTGCACTAATTTAGGGAACTCGTTTTTTTAAATAAAAGACGTGAGTTTGGAAAATGTAATAACAACAGCAATAGCAGCATAACCAACAGTTGATGTTGTTTGTTTTGTTTTGAAACCAGAAAGAATTTCATCCAACAATTCCAAAGACCACAGAATATGTCCTTCAAACCTCAAATGTCTATGGGGACATTTGAGGAAAGCTTAAAGACTCATCTTGACCATCTGTGCAATTTCAAGGTGAAATGTTCAATTCTCAAAAAAAAAAAGCATTAAAAGGAACATGCCCATTTAGCAATGTTTTCAATTCCCCAACTGAATGTTTATGTGTATGGTGCTGTGGTCCACCAGCCCCAATGATGCCAAGGTCTCAAAAGAGTTTTTGAACAAGCTTGAATGAAGAAACACTGAGCTTATAGAAAATGAGAGAAGGCCTCCAACCAAAGCTAAAATGAAATCTTTCTAATGGGATATAAATTGTTTTTGGTTAAAATTCTTCCTAACCTAATGGTGACCCTGGTCTGATAGTATATATTATAATTAATTTGCAAAGAATGAAAAAAATGCCAAACATCTTGTGATATTATGATTGTTTGCTCCTGAGAGACACTTGTTTGAGAGTGATGGCCATATAAAATGAATGGACAAATGAACGAATGAATGATGCACTTGGTGGAATGATGTGACATCCTTCAGTTTAATACCATAAAATAAGGAACGTGTAATTTCTTACAGCAGGGGGGAATGCACTTTAAAAATTCTGACATCCACTTATACCTTTTTTTTCTATTTCTGATGGTTGAAATTGGCATCTTAAACTTTGCAAAAGATTATGTTTTGTCATTCACTCTTTGGGAAAAACCAATTAACATTAGGGAGGTTGAGTTTTCTAAGGTCTAAAAGTTCCGTTAAGCTTCTCTAAGACTTATAGCCCTAATTTTCCTTTAAAACCCTCAAACCTTCTCCCAAATGAAGAAATTTGATTTCCCAATTTGGGAATAGTCTGGAGAAATTTGGAGTAATTAGGAGGATCATTAACTAAGTATTGTGGGCTACAGTGATAATGCAGTACTTCCTGGCGAGAACTGTTTGGACTTCAGATCACAGGAAAGCATCTTACGAGAAGGTATATAGTATTGAATTCATATGTGTCTCACCTCTAGAATCAAAGGCCAATTCTGAAATGTTTAGTAGAGGCTTGAATTGAATCAGGCTCTGATGAAGCAGACCCAATAACAATCTGTTTTTTTCCCCCTGAAGTTCATTAGCATTCAGGTGATTTGCTAGGACTCAAACATGCAGACAGTAGTCTGATTGCTATCTTAAGAAAATGAAGAAACACTCTTAACTTTTTTTAAATCTTGCAACAGTAATGAAAGAGAATGATTACTCACCTATGTGTTGACCATACATGTTGTAATAAAAACTGAAGCAATATGCGGTATTGGTGGTTCCATATGGGTTTTTGGGAGGGATGCTAAAAACTGGGCTAATGAGCCTTGCTCTATCACCTTCTTTTCTCGGACTGGATGCTTCAATGTACATGAAAAATCCTAGAAAGGAAAAAATGAAATGAAACTGTGATATGCCACATTTAACAAGGAGAAACATTTTCCTCTGGAGACTGGGGAACGGTGCCCAGACTTAAGAATACAAGCACATAGGTAAACTAGTACAGCACTTTTCCAGATACCTATGGGAAACCCTCAAGCAGGACCTGAGGATCACAATGCTATTTAGCTCAAGTTCCAAGTTCCCTGGAAATATTATGAACTGATGCTGCCTGTAGCAAGTTGCTGTAGCTGTTTCAAAGGTTGATCTGTCCAGGGCTTATGTTTTTTGTACTCCTACTATTTATATGACTAATATTTTAAATCAGTGTGGCTTCTATATAACAAAACTTATAAAATGTAGAAATAAATCAGGATGTTCAGACAGGTACAAATTAAACAGAAGGGATCTGCCATTTTAAATATGTTTTCTTTAATGTTTTATTCATGTAGGAACTACTTATAGACCACCTTTTCATATCAGAATCAATCTATCAAACTCATACAACCCCTGGAAAAACTGACAATCATTCCTCCTTTTTGTGTGATCCTGTGTGTGTTGGTGAAGGACCACAGATACTATGTTCCTACTTTGTGCCTGCTTTGTGGAATAGTCTCCCTTCAGAAATTAGTTTAATAAAATCACTTTATCAATAAATGTTAAAAAGGTAAAGGCTCACATTTTTTTTTCTTATATTTTGGTCACTATACAAAGAAAGACACTTTCTTTACTATTAACATGGAAACATTTCACTATTGCCAATTTTCAAGATTTTTTTAAACTATCCCATCCAAACATTAGCCATACCTGAACCTGCTTAGTTTTTTTGAGATCAGCCAAGATAGCTTTTGTTTGAAGTTTGTTGTTATTTTAGTAACTGTCCACATTCTGAAGCATGTAACCATAGCTTTTAAGTTTGAATAAAATGGAAAACTTAGGCTTATATTTATAGGCTTATCTGTAGCTTGTACTCAAAGAAGAGTTAAGAGACTGATATACAGGCAGAATCAGAAGTAGATTATTGATTGTTGAAAGGCATATCCTATTTTTCATTGCAAAACTCAGCTAAGAGTTACACGCTACCTTCCTTGGAACCTGACCGGTCAGCATTAGGTCCAGTGTTTGGGGTGTATTTTGTGTCTCGAAGGACAATGTTTTGTCTTGTCCAATCAAAGCTGTCCTTTTCATCTTGGGTGAATAAACAAATGTTGCCATCTTCAAAGCCACAGTGGAATTCTCCTGTCAACAAACCAATCACATGATCATACAAATAATCATTTCAAGCTAACAATTTACAAAGGCTTTAAGCTTTCTTCTTCTTCTTCTTTTTCAGAAAACTATTTTGTAATCACAATGTCTCAGGTTAGATTTTCTAAATATATGAAATTATCTGATAAGTAGTCCCAGAGATAAAAAAACAGTGATCAAAATGGTAACAATATATAATAAATAAAACAATAAAAATCATAAAGCTTCATAACTACTTGTGATGGTAGCAGATACCCAAGTTAATTCTCTTAAACTAAGCTGAGGCACCTATGAAAATGTAGCTATCACTGAAGTGGTAGAATTGGATTAGAAACATGTTGGATCAGTATCATCAGTATCATCAAGCATTTTAATACAACTAACATGAAAATGTTTGCTATGAGTCTCTTCATAAATATTGTCAAATTCAGTTTTAGGATGTGGGCCTAAAACTGGATTAGAATGAGAAAATTATTAGACAGCTAATAGCTAGTAGCTTTTCTGAGAAGAACTGTATTAAATTACCTTTCTATTGAAACGCTAGGAATGACATAATTGGGGATATATAAAAACAGTTGTGAGTCTGCCAGAGATTTTGCCTGAATTAAGGAATATTTGCCGAACTTAGTCTTAACCTCAAATTGACCTCTGTGTGAGTTCAAATGCATTAATAATAACTTCAAAGAGAGATGGACAACATGGTATTCTGGAAGCTGTCTTAAAAATTCCACCATCCCTTGCCATTCTGGCTAGAATTGATAGGAATTGGGGACAAACATATGGAAGGAACACACACTGTCTTTCTCTGCTCTTTATCTTTTAATCAACAAGTTTAGACTATACCTAGGTGGATCAGGGGCTCTAGTTATTTCCTCCTTTGCTTCCTGGAAGATTCATCAAACATTTGGTAGGAAACAGTATAGAGCAAGGGACTCCTTTATTAACTTTCATGAGCTGTCAGTCATCCTATCTACATATCTGGTTAAGTCTTTGCTTTCAGTCCTAATCTAGAGATGGCAACCTCTGAAAATGATTTGTGTGGCCCTCAGAAACATTTTTGCATCTCAAGAGAATCTCTAAAACTGACAGATGTTCTCACTTAGGAGTAAGAATTCTAAAGGAGGAATTCTAAAATGGCAGCATGGAGGCGTTATTTGCAGAGACTTAAGGTACCAACTTCAAAAATGCTGCAGCCCTAAGAAACCAAATATATATTTCTTATTAGAGAGTTAATGGGCAAAGTAGATACCTTAAATAACATTCTTATCATCTAAAACTCTCCTTCTATATGCCCATCCCCAATCCATTTGACTGACATAATAACATCATTGTTCATACTCCCTGTTGTTCTAGTAGGCCAAGAATATTAAAAGTGTGGCTTCCAGCTTTCTCTTCCTCCCCAGATGAAAGGAAAATTAAGGATCTGAAGAAGTGTTTGGTGCTTTCATTCATCTCTTGTCTGGGCTTTGTTGTTGTTGTTCTTTCTTTTTTCAATCTATCCTTTTGTTCCTTTGTATCTTTTCAAAATTTATTTTGTGAAGTCCCCAGTTTATATTATAGTATACTGATATATTATTCCCCCTTGCACAGTATACAGAGTCTATATAAAAAGTAAGAAAGATCTAAATTTGATTTATATAGCGACAAGGTAGTTCCAATACTTACGTAAATGTGGGTTCATTGGAGCTATAAAAGAAAAAGATAAAATCCTAAAATTAATAAAATTTTCTGTGCATACTGACAGCTGTATTGTATCTGATATTCCTACTATTTGTGCCTTTCCATCAGGATTGGACAACTATTAGGCTTGTAAATTCTGATAGAGGAAATATTTGTAGCTCAGCGTTCAAATGAGGGGTCCTTGATATTCTCTGAGCTTGGCTGGTTTTTTTTGCAGACATTTCATTACTCAAACTAGGTAACATCATTAGTACTAGTCCAGAGTGGGGTTTGTTCTCATTTTATATTCTAGTGGCTAGAGAACACACTCAGCTAGAGAATACACATGAAATCATCAACAATGTCTTCAAGGAATCAAATTCACAAGGGAAGAAAAAAAGAAAAAGATGCTACCCTTCCTGGATATCCTTATCAGCAGAGACTGTGATGGTAAATTAGAAACCCAAGTCTACTGACAAACTGCCCACACCAACCAAGTGCTCCACTACCGAAGTAATAACTCAATCTTCCACAACAGAAGCTGTGTTAGAATATTATTTAGTTGAGCACAAAAATACTGCAGCTATGCTGAATGTTTGTTGTGGTTAGCGGGCAGCAAGTGCGGACGGCTGAGGAGAGCGAGGACTTAGATGAGGGGCCAGGACCATTAGGGAGTGGACTGCTGCCTTCAGAGTTTGTGGGGGCTGGCAGCAGCGATGAGAAGGTTCCTGAGGAGCCTGTGTCAAGTGCGCATGTGCACAGGATTGCTCGCAGGAAAGAGCAGCTATGGGCAACTCGGGAATAAGGTTGCAAAGTAATGGCCCCTCCTTCAAGAAGATAAAAGCCAGCTGTGAAGTGAATGTTCTTTGCAGGAAGCAAAGACATTTTGAAACTCAGCCTCATGGACATTACAGTATTTTAAGTTGGTATTTGAAAACTCTTGTGTTGTGAAATAGTTCTTATCTGTGATTTTTGGCGGTCTCGTTTGTGCTTATCAAAGTAATTAGTTTGCAGCAGCCTTTTAACTGGAGATTTGTAAGACTCATTAAAAGGTTTCTGTTCCCTTTGGTTATTGCTTGTCTTATTGAAAAAGGGTTTGGGTCAGAACAATGTTAGGAAAGGAAACAGATCATCTATACAACATCTTCCACCCCAAAAGAGAAAGGAATATCCACACAGCTTCATCAAAAAGGACCTGACTGCTCAACCCAATATAGCACAAGCAACACAGTCCATGAACCAACTAAAGCCCTCTAAAACAGGGGGTCTCCAACCTTAGCAACTTTAAGACTTGTGGACTTCAACTCCCTGGGAGTTGAAGTCTTAAAGTTGCCAAGGTTGGAGACGCCTGCTCTAAAACATACTAAGTAAAGACTCAGCAGCCTCAAAAGAAAGAAAGAAAACAAAAACAGGAGTAAATACAACATTTAGTGTAAGGACTGCAACACCACAATGCAGGACAAATTAACAGTCAGAAGACATGGTGAAAACTCTTAAATTTCACAACATGAACAGACTTAACCATAGTTTCAAACTGTCACCATTCTAGACCAAACCAAGTCCTACCAACAGTGACAGGTTAAGCTGCTAGAATATAAAATGAGAGCAAACCCCACTCCCATTTAGCACTGATGATGTTACCTAGTTTGGATAATGAAACTGCATGGAAACAACTAAGTTGGAGAGTACCATGAGTAAACTCTATTTTGTATTGTAGCTAGTCATTCAGCTATTATCTAATCCTTTAACAATTCCTAGGATTCCTCAAGGAATGTAACAGTGAAAACCACTGTACTTTCCTGCAACAATTTTCTCCTGCTTATGCCTTGATTTCTTTATCCCACCAGTATAATAATTTACATTGGGAGAGTCTTTGGGTTGCAGATACAGTTAAATAATTAAGAGTTTAAAAAACAGACAAATACATTTTCCATTCAGCTCTTATTTACATTTCAAATTATTATTCTCATATCTTAACAGATGGTATTTTAAATTTTCTAATTTGTCCCTTTTAGATTTTCCTTAAAGTAAAACATGTAAAATTATTTATACAATTTTATACTTGTTGTGCTTGGTAAGAGGCAGGAAATATAAAATTATAAGGTAATTTAGGATATGTTTTAAGGGAAAAAATAAGAATAATAATGGTGTTAGCATAATAATAGCAAGTATACAGCTTATCTTTCAATATTATCAAATATTCAAAAGCTATATATTTAATCATTGATGGCAAAAGATGGGCAGTATGCAAATTATATAGGCATTTATTTTATTTAAAAAAATTCTGTACTTCTCTTTCAAGGAACAGAGTAATACAGTACATATAGTAATGATCCCATTTCTATCCTAGAAATGATCTAGAAAAGTAGACATCAGAATGACTGATTGAAGTACATCCTGTAAATTATATTTCCATGTTAGAACAAGATGTCTTCATGATTCAAACTACAAGATATATCCCACAAAGAGAGACGTTAGCACATTTGGAAAAATTCCACAATGTTGTAGGTAGGGAATAATTGGAGTAAGAACACAGGGATATCGCAGATCAGCAAGTTCCAAATATCCAGAAGGATTTCAGAATATTTAGCAGATATTGAATACAAGCTGGCTGTTGCAAGGAACAGAAGAAGAGAAAAATACCTAGGAGTTATATAACAAGGATATAGTTGATGCATTAAAAACAAACACTACTTTGTTTGAACTTTTATTTTTTAGTGCTTTAGAAGGGTATTTGCTTGGTGGATGCTTGGTAGTGAGTGAGTGAGGATTTGAACAGAGAACTTTCTTTGTCAAGATCGTCATCTTATTTGATTCTTGTTCATCCAAAGGAAACAAAGAATCTATGGAATCTCACTCTACAGGAGTATGTATTGTTTATTCATTTAATTTATATGACATCCACCTCACTGTTACTACAACTCTGGTCAGCTTACGTCATAAAAAAAGACAATACAAAGCAATTATAAAAAAGATTAAATAGTGACTAAAAACTAAGAGGACAGGTGATGAGAAGATGGGGTTCTTCTCTCTAACTCATCAGCCACCTGTAGCACAGAGGCCTCCTGTTGGGGCCTCAGGCCAGCCAGCAGAGCTTGTTCTAAGGCTCTCCTGGAAGGCCAAAAGTGTGAGGCTTGATCTTATCCCCAGCCAGAGATCATTCCAATGGGAGGGCCACAGCAGAAAAGTCTCTTCTCTTAGACTCAGACAAAATTCTTTGGCAGATGGGATCCAAAATAGGAGTAAGTGGGACCACCCAAACCCAGAATCCAATCCTCCTGCGAGATCCTAATAGAGGGAAAGCTTTTTGGTGAAGTAAAACATTGTATACCTGAACAGTGCCTCAGAACTGATTCCCAAATACATTTACGGCAACACTCTAGGCAGTTTGAAAGAGTTTGATGACTTGACTCTGCTAATTCCCATGGGCCTCACAGAATGGGACAGAATCCTGGGAGTGGTTCGTGCCTCGAAATCCCTCATCCCTTCCTTTTGACCCTAATATTTTTGCTTTCACCTGGCTCCTTTGATTGATGTATTTTTTTTTACTATTTTTATGTTGTAGTTATACACAAAATCACTCCAAGATGGGATATGCAGTATCTAAATTTGATAAATAATAAATAAATAAGTCCATGGTGAGCATGCTCCAACCTTGAGTAGCATGCGTGGGCCAACATTTAATTTACACAAAGCTATTTTGAAAGCACTCTGTAGCTTCACTTTATTGCCACTTTATCTTTTTCTTTTCTTTCTTATATTCCTTTATTTAAGAGGAATAATCAGTGACTCGCTTCCTGTATAATTTGCCTTGAGAAAATGTACTTAGTTATTCAAGACAGGCCTCCCTGTGTTTGCTAACACAATTACTTCTCATTTGCTGAGAAACATTTCATTTTTGTCATTCTTCTGACTCCAAATTGTGGGGAACTGCACTGAGTGACATTTGCTTTGTCGACAAACTTGGAGGCTTTGAGAGAAACTATCGTTAATGGCTAACCTTCAGTGCTGCAATATTCATATTGTTTGCAACACAGCAACCAAAGCCAAATGGATGGGTTGGCAAGCAAGAATCAACTCCTGATGATTGACAGGAACAGAAAACAAATTCAACACTAGTTAGTTATATACATGTTACAGGCCAGTAGCACAAGAGAAATGTAGGTGGGGAGCAACAATTCAGAAGTGGTAGTTTTGGAGAGCCTCCTGTCATCATTGGTCCAGGTTCAAGAATCACTCAGTGGGGAAAGTAGCGAGTAGTAGTTGTCATGATGGGAAAATAAGAGTTGATGAAAGTGAGAACTCTTACTCTGAGCTTCCAAGGTCTAGAGAAACTTTTTAGCTTGTAGTTATCCCTGTTGGAATTGGCAAGCCTGGTTCTGTGATTCCAGTGTTCCAGAGGGGGCAGGGGAGGGGGGTTTTCATATGATTGAGTTGGGGTAAGAAAGCTAAAAATGGTACCAGGAGGTTGTATTATTAAGAATTAAAGATTTATAGGCCAGATAATAATGCAAGTCAAACAAGAAGCCATCATGTCTAGGAGGATTTGATGGCCAACACAAATTAAATGGTTTTGTAAAGGGGCCAAAGGTGGCTTACTTCTAAAATAAAAAGATCTCTTCTTGCTTTACGTGCAAAATCCTTGGCATTTCCAAGTACAGCTGAAAAATTCATATCTGAAACCTCTAACTGCAGCATGTTAGAAATATCTAACCCTCGCAGCATGTTATGCGAACCTAGTCACAATGCTTTTTATTACTTGTAATTAGCTGTTGATTCTCCCTGTTCTCCATTTCAGAAGGCTGGGAAATGATAATGAGATCTTCCACTGCCCTGCTTGAGTCCAGCTGCCACTTGATTCCTTTCCTAAAAGTAGGGTTGGACAACCTTTCCAAGGTGGTAAAGCACACTTAACTTTGGGAAGGCCAAGGACACTAGTGGGTGGGATAAATATGCCAAAGGATGGGACTATATTGTGTACACAGCTTGGTTGCGCTTTTATTTCTTGCTTTGTGAGAGGAGGAGGA